AATAATAAAGCAATTTTTCTGTTGCAAAGACCACAGCAAGTCCAGATGTTTTTAATATTATGGATTCCTATTTTAAATCTCTGTGTTTATTTTGTGAATCCTGTTTGCATGACTAACAGTGCTAACATTGTGTGGCACCCCCATGGCACCATTGAAAGGATCTCAAGGCACCCCATGATGTCAGAGTAGCCTGCTTGAGAATCACTGGGCTAAATGATTTCCATTCCAGCCCTATTTTTCCAATATCCATCATACTCAGCAACAAGCTGGGCTTGCTTTCTTTAATCAGATGTCTAAAATCCTGGCATCTTCATGGAAACTTTCCATAGGAGCTTTCCATAGGATAAATATATACACCAATAAAGCCAGTATTGGAGCTCCAATATTATTTACTTTAAAAAGATGATGAGGAACAGTCAGCCTGGACTCCGCAAGGGCAAGTCATGCCTATTCAACCTGATTGCCAGCTATGAAGCAATAACTGGCTTTGTGGATGTGAGAAGACCAGTGAATGTGGTGTACCTTGATTTTAGCAAGGCTTTTGATATAGTCTTCTACAACATTCTCGCAGGCAAGCTAAGGAAGTACAGGTTGGATGAATGGACTGTAAGGTGGATAGAAAACTGGCTGGATCATCAGGCTCCGAGGGTAGTAGTCAATGGCTCAATGTCTAGTTGGCAGCTGGCAACAAGTGGAGTGTCCCAGGGGTCAGGCCTGGGGCCAGTTCTGTTCAACATCTTTATTAACAATCTGGAAGATGGTATGTTGTGCACTTTCAGCAAGTTTACAAATTATACTAACTGGGGGGGGGTAATAAATACACTGGAGGGTAGGGCTATGATTCAAGGACACCTCAACAAACTAGAAGATTGGACCAAAATAAGTCTCATGAGGTTCACTAAGGATGAGTGCAAAGTTCTGCAGTGGTACAGGCTGGGGACTGGCTGGCTAAACAGCAGCAGAAAAGGACCTGGGGATTATAGTGGACAAGAAGCTGAATATGAGCCAACAGTGTGCCCTTGTTGCCAAGAAGGCTAATGGCATATTGGGCTGCATTACTAGAAGTGTGACCAGCAGATCAAGGGAAGTGATAATTCCCCATATTGGGGATTGGTAAAGTCACATCTGGAGTACTATGTCCAGTTTTGGGCCCCCCACTACAGAAAAAATGTGGACAAGTTGGAGAGAGTTCAGTGGGGGGCAACAAAAATGGTTAGGGGGCTGGGGCACATGACTTGTGAGGAAAGACTGAAGGAACTGGGCTTATTTAATCTATAGAAGAGGATACTGAGGGTAGATTTAATAGCAGCCTTCAACTACCTGAAGGGTGGTTACAGAGAGGATGGAGACAGAATGGCCTGGAGGGCTGAATCTGATCTGCAGGCTGTATTTTGCCCACCCCTGGTCTGTTTGGCCTGCAGGGCCCCTCCATAAAACAATTGTTACCGGACAATGAAAGCTGGCAGGAGGCAGGCTTCAGAGTTCATACACTATTGGACTGGACAGACTCTGTGCCTTCACCTCTATAGGACTTCTGGCACTCCAGCTGGAGCCCCATGTGGAGGCACCAAGTGTAAAGGTAAACGACTGGATAGTTAGTGAATGGGGAGAGAATTCCTTCCTGCAGGAGGTAGGGGTGTGGGCCCCCCTGCCATATGCCTCCCCCCATGGCACACAGCCCATGCCCCTGGTGGCAGCAGCAGCAGCTGGTGGAAGGCCCTCCGGGGACTCATGGTCCACAGCAGGAAGACTCCCCCTATGGTGCGTGGCTCTGCCCAAATCCTAGGAGCTGCATGTGGTGGCACAGAGCCCACCCAGCCCAGCCCATGGGCATGTGTCTTCAAGCCAAACCTGGCTGGCTCTGTGCCATCACATGGTGCTCCCAACATTGCAAGCAGCAGTTGTGTGCCATCAGGCTGGGCTGAGCTGGGCAAGCTCAGTGCCTCCATATACAGTGCCGGCACAGAGCTAGCCCAGCCCAGGCTCATGGCATGTAGCTCCTGCCTACAGTGCTGGGAGCCCCATATGCTGGCATAGAGCCAGCTTGACCCAGGTCCAAAGTGTGTGCCAGCTGGCCGGGCCAGCTTGGCTCCATGCTGCTATGTGCAGCTCCAGGAACTCAGCTGTAGCCATGCGCCACTGGGGGGCTCTGCCCACCACTGCCAGCAGCAGGGCCTATTCACTGGCAGGGGGGACATGTGGCAGGAGGGCCCCCACCCACCCCTGCAAACCCACCGACACACACCCTCACAAAGCCCATACACACCCACACACACTCCCAGACCCCCCACAAACCCCCTACACCCTGTACAAGCCCCCACACCCCTTCACAATCCTCCACACACAACCCCACACCTCCCACATACACACACACTCCCACAAATCACACACACACACCCCACTCCCCCATCCAGACATAATATACAGGAACAAGACTTTATTTTGAGCTATTATGCAATCATCTCTACATACCCTGTGCAAATGCATGTAAAACAGGACACAAATATTTTCTGAAATAAAATTAAAATGTTATAGTAGATGTTTGATTTTTAGTATTTGCTTTTTTTTTCTGGTTCCAAGATGGCAAACCTCACCTCCCAAAAGGAGTACTTCCAGTGGCAAGGTGGGAGGAAAGGCTTCTGGTGGCAAAGGTCAGGGCTTAGGGATGGGACTTTCAGTCCCAAAATGGTGATCAGGGGGCAAACCATCTGTCAAGGGGCAGGGCTACCCTTGAGGACCTTGACAGCTCACCAAAAATCAGTAAGCAGTCTTCCAGCCAAAATAATTGCCCACCCCTGAGTTGGACCAGTCTTTTTCCATTTTTTTTCATTTGTGGACCTCTAAAAATGTCAAATGGAGGTGCAGGTCCCTTCGAATTGTAAGTGTGGATATTCACATACTTTTAATTGAGCATAGTCATATTTTGCAATCCCCTTAGACAGTCTGCAGACCCCCAGGGGGTTCATGGACCACAGCTTGAAAGCACTGAGTTAGACTGTTCTTAATGGTGGCAGATGACGGAACAAGGAGTAATGGTCTGAAGTTGCAGCAAGGGAAGCTTAGGTTAGATATTAGGAAAAACAGTCTCACCAGGAGGGTGATTCAATGAACTAACAGCAGCTCCCATGGCTCTAAGCCAGCAAAAAACACCCCATGCAGCATTCCTGCACCTGCATGGAAGCTTACTGTATGGAGAATGGTCCATCAATGTCCTTAGCTCTTTGTCTGGGCATCTAAAAGCAAAGGTGTTTGTGTGTCAAAAACCCAATTGCTTGGGCTTGGATTTAGCAGAGGCAGGCAGGCGAGTCTTGCTCTCCCTGCAATTGCTAATTTTGCATACACTCTTTTCAAAACCTCTTTCAACTAGAAGTGAAAATAAAGGAATAAGCTTAACGATCTTTTCTATTTTGCATTATGTTACTTCCAAGTCACCTATGTAGAAAGAATCTGATGACACCAAATATCCAACTCCCTATCCTGGACATTTTAGTATAGGATGTGATGTGAAATGAACAACTTGGGTAGCTCCAAGAGGGAAGGAGGCCAAGGAAGTGATCCCAATCAGCACAATAAACATAGCACATCGGCTGCCTAAACAATGCAGAGAGTTGGAAACAGGGCACTGAAAGGGAATGGCCTTCTTTTCCCTCCCACTTTCCCCACAGCTAATGCTCATAATTAGTCACATTTTGGTAGAACTGCAACTATGATTAGTTTTATCATGCTTCAAGTGATGCATGGACCTATTTGAAACTGTCTTGGTACTGGAAACAAGTAACAGGAAGGGAACCACACAGGTCATTAGGCAAATACTTAAAATTGTGGTATTCAGGTGTTCATCCACATAGGTAACAGCAGCTAAGTAGCAGTATCCCTGTTTTGCAGATAGGGCTTAAACAGGTTAGAAATTGGTTTGCTGATACTGTATGACTGGTCCCTATTTTTGCCATTAATTCTGACCATCTTCTTCATCTTTTGGGATGGAGAGGCCTTCTTCTCCAGATCCAGGCTGCATGGGCCATTAACACTGCCCATCCTCCTCCCTTTGCATCTTGAGAATCCAGAGGGGAGCCACCCATATGATCAAAGGCCAAGAGAGCAAGCCTTATCAAGAGAGACTGAGGGACATGGGACTCTTCAGCCTGGCAAAGAGAAGACTCAGGGGGGACATGGTGGCAGCCGATAAGTGTATAAAGGGGGTGCATCAGGATCTGGGAGAACAGTTGTTCAGCAGGGCTCCCCAAGGGATAACTAGGTCTAACAGCCACAAACTTCTAGAAGGCCGATTCAGACTCAATATAAGGGACAAACTTCTTTACAATCCGAGCGTCCAAGGTCTGAAACAGACTCCCCCCAGAGGTGGTGTAAGCACCTACTCTGGACTCATTCAAAAGGCATTTGGGGCTGGGATCATCTGATATCTTGCTGGGATCATCTGATCCCTGAAGACTTCCTGCCTGTGGCAGGTGGGCTGGATTCAATGATCTCATGAGGTCCCTTCCAGCCCCTAATGTCTATGAAATCTATAGCCACTTTGTACTCTCTAGGGTATCTTTAATCATCTTTCACCCACTGAAGACTTTTCTCATGGTATTTTCCACAGTGGACCCTCACGTTCCGCTTTGGTGCAGTATTACTAAGCAAAGGTGGAAGAACCAATATAGAACTTCCCCACCCCCATTCCACATGTGCAACTTCTCTGTATCTGCACAAATCCAACAGATGGGCATGGGGAAATGTCTAAGGGGCCACCACATGGGTGATCTGAGTTGAGAAAGCCCATTGTCCAGCTTCCTTTCCTCATGAACTGGCTGAAGCCCCTGTTCTGTCCAAACAAACACATGTGACTAATCCCAGGATTGGGGCTTAATTGTAGTCTAAGCTGGTTCACTGCCCTTCATTCCCTAGTAGGGCGAATGAAGCACCAAGCCAAGACACCAACGTAGTAGGCAGGTCAGAATTGCATCCCCACCCTGCAGTGTCTGCACCCTGGCAGCAGAAGTAGTCCCCTCATATGGCTCGTGGCAGCAGCAGCCAGATACAGACCCCATGGTACTGCTCTAGGGGCAACAGTTAGGGGTGGGCAGACCATTGTTGAACAGAGATGTAATGAAGCAGAATTTTGGATATGCTTACTGTCTAGCATTACTTCCTCTTGAGAAAAGAAACTGACTCTGTATAATAGAAGAGTTTGATTTCATCTTATTCGGGATTTCCAAAACTCCAAGTTCAGTTCCCTTTTTGGAGAGAAATAAAAAGAGCCATTCAGACTGCAGTTGCTTACAGCAGCTAAGAGAAGCCAAGATGAAGAGCCTAGCTACAGTGCTGGTAATAGCTCTGCTTGTCAAGAACCTGATTGTCCTGGAGGGTGAGTGACTTCTCATGTTTTTTCTGCACTTTGAAGAAAATCCTTTAAAAGCAAATCATTCAACAATTTCCATTCTCCCCACCCCACCCCCTGCAAATCCAAAGATAAGCCCCAGCACTCTTTGACCTATATACTATAGACCTCCCCATGTTGTTTCAGCCCAAATTCTTCAAGCTGCCCAGGGCAGACCAGTTCTTATACCCATGGAGGGTTCTATCTATGTTCCAGCTTATGGATGGCATCAAAGCAGTACCTGGATATAATGTCAGTCTATGTTTGCAGGATTAAAGTCTTTATTTATTACATTATATTTTTACATTATGTTGTGTAT